AAAATTATTTAGTGATATAGGGGATTAAGCTCAATGTCCCAAATCCCCCAAGTTCAGAGGTCAGTGCCTCTCCCACCTTCTGCGGGGAAGAATCAGCTTTTTACTTCCTGGTGCTTTGTAGCCAGTACTTGTGTAAACTAGAATAAAATGATTTACTAGAAAAATGGAAGGCACTAAAAAAACTCAAGTGAAATAAAAGCGTTACTTTGAAAATACTAGATTCAGCAGACATGATGATCCTGTCAATTAGCTATACAAATGTCTAAATGCTCTCAGTTTTCTGTACCTGACCCAAGGGGCCTGGCCTTTAGGCCACACCTGGAATAGCCCTGTCTCAGGGCAGAGGGGGCACAATTTATTTTGTATCCCCACTTCTTTGCATTTAGAAAGCATCTAAAGGACTTTAATGAATGAATGAAAGCCTGTGTTGGCATAAACATAGAATTCCCATCACTGTCATCCTGTGGTCAAGGGACATGGCTCTGCGCGAGGCTGTTCTCTCATTTGCACCCTTGGTGCCACGCTGAACCCTGGCTGCCCTTCTGTTCTGGCTCCCGTCCTTCGGCCTCGTGATTCGTGTTTGCACATCTGTCTTGCGGGCCCCACTGGGAGCTCCTTCAGGCCTGGACCGGGGCAGACTGCTCTTTGAATCCGCAGGGCCTGGATGAGGCCTCTGCCCTGGGAGAGGCTTGGTAAATGTCCACTGTGCACAGGAGGGAGCCGCACCCTGGCTTCCAGAACAGGGTCTCTGCCCTGACTCTGTGGCCCAAGGATCTGGGTGCTTCAGCTTGGCTGAGAAATAAACTGCTTTCCTTACACAGTTCAGAGAGCAGAGGGGTGATGCGCACACTGCCTGATTCTCAGTATTGTTGGGTTGCTCGTCTTTTTACAGATTCCTGGGCTCTTTCTGGACTTACTGAATCAAAATTTATAGGGATGTTGATATTTAAACAGACATCGTCAGATAATTCTAATGGTCAGGAAATCGGGGGAAGAGGGAACTTACAGAGAATGTTATCTAGTAACTTGGGAGAGCAGCTTCCTCCTCAGCTCCCAAGCTACTCAATACATGAGGATATTATTGCGATTATCATGAAAATTAAGTGAAAGAATGTGTAGGAAGTGCTTAGCAGAACACTTGCCGTATACACTATATATCATTTATCAGTACAGATTATATATATCAAAACGCATTCAATGAAATGGTTGACACTGTGTATGTCCTACATATCTTTATTGTTGGCAAATATCTGATTTTCATGAGATTTGTAACTAATTATCATATAGGTAGTTCAAGCTTATAGAAAAATTGTAAGATACATGCTGAGACCGGTTTGGCTCAGTGGAGAGAGTGTCGGCCTGCAGACTGAAAGGTCCCGGGTTCAATTCCAGGCAAGGGCATGCACCTTGGTTGCCGGCACATCCCCAGTAGGGGGTGTGCAAGAGGCAGCTGGTCGATGATTCTCTCTCATCGATGTTTCTAACTCTCTATCCCTCTCTCTTCCTCTCTGTGAAAAATCAATAAAATATATTTTTTTTAAAATTGTAAGATACAAGTGCACAGAAATGAGAAAATCAGTCTCACCTATAATAACCTAGAGATGTAGCTGCTAACATTTTGAAGCATTTATTTATAGTCTCTGTGTGTGCATAGTACATATGTATTATATATATATGTTATATGTTATTTTACATATCCATTGTAATGTATTTAATGCACAATTATACATTAAATATTAAGAATATGTTATGCATATGTGCATATAATATATATTAAACATTGTATTATATATGTGTATATTTATGTATAATGTATATATACTACACATATATAGTACACTACATATTTAGTATATTATAAATATTATTTTATATATGTACTAGAGGCCTGATGCACGAAATCTGTTCATGGAGTATACCGGCCAGGGGTGGGCAGGCACTGGGGGAGGTTGGCTGGCTGTGGGAGTGCACTGACCATCGGGGGCAGTTCCTGCATTGAGCATCTGTGCACATCATAGCGACTGGTCGACCAGTTTTCCCAGTTGTTCGGGTTTAAGGTCGCTTAGGCTTTTACATACATAGATATACACATATGTTTATTTATTTCAGAAAATAGGACCATACTGTACCTGCTGTTTTCATTGCTCGCCTGACAGTAGATCATGACATTCTTTGTCAATAAGAGTTTGTTGACTTGGGTTTAAGTACTGATTCATTCATTTAGTTGATCAGTGGCCTTGGGCAAGTTATTTAACCTTTCTGGGCCTCAGTTTTCCCGTTTGTAAAAGGGGGAAATAACTGCTCCAATATCACCACATCACTGTGCAGATTAACTAGATAATTCGTAAAAGTGTATATCCTAGCAGTGGCCCAGAGAGAACCCTGTCAGCTGATAGCCACCAGTCTTGGGACCTGGTGGGAAAGGCTGCTGAGTCCAGGATCCCCATTTGGGAAGTGCTTCTCAGTCTCTGCCCAGTCCAGTTTCATGCTCCGAGCAGTTTTCTGGGTTTTTCACAGCTCAGACTAGCTGTGTCATTTCCTGAAAGGTAATTCTTGGTTCCCTTTGCTTCAAGGGGAAGACCTGGACCTGTGGCTGCCCTCCCCACCTGTCTTCCCCATTCCACCTGTGTCCTAAACCCCGCCCCCTCTCCCCCATTGCTGATGCATCGCAGTGTGGACACCCCTGGATTCTTGTTCCTGGGAGTAGGTCCAGTCTCACTGTGACCTTGGAAGCTCCTCTCCAGATTCCAAACATCCCTTTCAACAGCTGGTTAGAAAATGGTGTTTGTGTGTATGTGGGGAAAACTCAGCTTGTCTTCTGCACAGACATAATTGCATATAATGCCTCTGCAGGCCCATTTTACAGTGAGAAAACAGGGGCTCAGGGAGCTATGTGACTTCCTGAAGCCTCAGAACTGGAATTCAAATACCTGCCTCTTCCACAATATGTGGGAAGCATCCCAAAATGAGCGAGACTCTCTGCCCTGAGGGGCTGATGCCCAGTGTTTGGATTTCTAGTTCAGGGAAGACCCTTGAACAACTCACGAGCACAGAAGCCTGATAAAGAGAGGGAGCCTTGGCTCCCTGACTCAATTAGTTCTGTGGGTCTGAGGCTCAGACTCCCAGACTCAGTTGACATCAATGTGTGGATTACAAAGTGAACAAACACATTCAGAGCAATGATCCCACAGCGCCAGGCACTGCACGCATCTAGTAAACGGTGCCTGCTAATGTGGCTGCTATTCGTGAAAATGCTTTATCCTAGCTGACAAAGATGCCCCAGCAGACATCACAGAACTGCATGCATCGTGAGCTTTTGACCCTGGTATCAAAGGGATCCCTCATGCAGAAGATTCAAAAGAGAGAAGCAGACCTAGGAACTAACGGGAAAGGCCCTTAAGGCTTACTACTGAGGGGAAGAGTCAGCTGCAGGAAGAGGCACTGTGCATGATATTATACAATTTATGTGCGAAAAGCCACCCAACCCGAGACAAAGCCACACTGCCGTTCCCACAGGCAGGAATGAAAGAGCACAGGAAAAGGTCTGGAAGGGTGCACTGATCTCATCAGGTTCCTTCTTCACCTCGAGGGAGGGGGAGCTTTGGTCTTATCTGAAATGTTCTAACTTTTTTTTTTTTTTTTTTTTACAAGGAAATAAATACATGTATTTATGAAATAATTAAAGTAAATTGAAATAGTTATCCTTTCTGCACTTTGGGGATTTGGGTGTGCCTTTCACACTGTCTTTTCTGCTCACTGAAGACATGTATTGCCTTTCTGTTGTTAACATTGGTAGTTTTTTTAAATGTGTTTTTATCGATTTTAGAGATAGAGGAAGGGAGAGGGAGAGAGAGAAACATCAATGAGAGAGAAACATGGATCGGCTGCTTCCTGCACGCCCCCCTACTGGAGTTTGAACCGAAACCTGGGCGTGTGCCCTGACCTGGAATCAAACCAGTGACTTCCTAGTTCATAGGTTGATGCTCAACCACTGAGTCATGCCGGCCAGGCTTAACATTGCTAGTTTTTACATAACTAGCAAGAAAAAACACGTTTCTCTCTCATGGCACAGCGTCTCTCCTGAAGCATGCGTTCAGGTCCATCTGGTTTTCAAAGCATTTGTTCATTTGTGCGTGTTTGCATGTGACTTAAGATTCAAATGGTACAAAAGGAGTTAAGTAAATTCCTTTCTCCCGCCTCTGTTCTTGGCCCTCTCTCCTCCCTCCCCAGAGTGTTGGGAATCCTTCCAGAAAGAGCCTATATTTGTGGAGATATATACGTGTTAACATTTCCCACGTGAATGGGAGAGTATTCATGCTTATTTATCAACATGTCTCGGAGACCGTTCTGTATTGGTGCACAGCACACTTCCTCATCTCATGTTCTGCCTGCATAGGCTTTCTGTGTGTGTGGACCCCCATGTATGAGTCTCCTGCTGATGGACCCTCAGAGTGTTTGCAATCTCTTGCCATTGCAGACTGAATGGTAAGAACTGTTCCCTTACCTTTCACCAGCTATTTTCAACCTGTGTGCCACAACAGTTTTAAACATGCAACACCTGACTCTTTAGTCAGGGGCACTGACCTCTTTTCCCTTAGATTGTCAAGTAAAACACTGACAACAGCCAACACAATAGCCGTTTGGTGTGAACGAATCAAAATCATACTCTCTTTTTGTCAAATTGATAAAAATATACCATATATTTTTGGTGTGCTGAAGAATTTCAGAACTACTTTATGTGCCCTAAGGTGAAAAGGATGCACAGGCCATGGTGTCTGTAGGGTGAGTCCTGGAAGTGGACTTGTTGGGTCCAAGGACACGAGCAGTGGAGATGTACATGCATGCAGCCCGAAGACCCCATGGAAGTGGCCCCAATGAGTGCCCCCTCTCCTTTAGGGAATGGAGTTGGATGGGGCTCAGGTGGGGAGGGGACTGGGGGAGATTTTTGCCTGTCCTTCTGCAGCAGTGCCTCTGAGACATGTCCCCCTGTGTCTTTGCAGAGCAAGCTGGTGAAGTACTTCAGCCGGCAGCTGTCCTGCAAAAAGAAGGTGGCCCTGCAGGAGCGCAACGCCGAGCTGGACGGCTTCCCCCAGCTCCGGCACTGGTTCCGAATTGTCGACGTGCGCAAGGAAGTCCTGGAGGTGACCGGAGGCGGCCCCCGCCCTCTGCTCCTTACTGGCCAGCAGCCAGTCCCTTGGGTAACGGGGTTTTGGCTGTGCCTGGCACATAGTAGGCCCTCAGTAAATATGGATTGGATGAAGGCATCGGAGACCCTTTCTGAATGGGCCATTTCAGCTCTGCCACTCACTAATTCAGTCACTTCACCTCAGAGCTTTCTGCTGTGATGGACATATTTAATGTCTGTGCAGTCCCACACAGTGGCCACCAGCCACGTGTAGCTCTCTAGGACTTGAATTGTGGCTAGTGCGTGTGGCTGAGGAACTGAACTTCTAGTCATATTTAATGTTAATCCATGTGGCCAGGGACCATCGTCTTGGACACTACAGTCCCAGGGTGTTAGTTTTCTCATCTGTTACATGCGTGATGACCGCCTCCTCTTCTGAAATAGCTGGTGTGTAAAATACGATGATCCCGATAAAATGTTCAGCTTGTACTTAGGCACCTACCAGCACTCGGTTGATGTCAGCTCAGTATTGTTGTTATTATTGTTGTTGCAAACTTTGGAAGCGACAGGTTATCCAATGGCAAAACAGAGCCAGCACATGCTGTCTGTGTCCGCCCTCAAGGAGTGGAGCGCATGTTTAAGGTCTCTAGGATGGTGGGGTTTCCTTGCCTTCTTGGATCCTGGGCCATCACTGAGTCCATCATCTGGGCCGAGCCCTTCCGGATAAAACCAGCTCACCTCGAATCTTTGGTGCCTGGCATTGTGCGGAGTGCTTTCCATGCAGGACCTCAAGTGTTGAGATAGTTCAAATCTTTGCAACAACCTTTTGCGTAGTTACAAATACCACCGCGTTGTGCAGAGCAGTAAACTGAGGCTCAGAGATGAAGGGGCTCATTTCACTAGTGAATGGGTGGGGTTGGCAGAGATGGAAAGCACCGTCCTTGCCCCATTTTCCAGTTGCCAGGGCCTCCCTGACCTGGGGAGGAACGGTGTGTCCCCTACCTGCAGGGCCTGTACCATTTCTTAGGGGGCTCCCTGCTTCCTCCTTGCAGCGGCCTGGAAGATCCTCTTCCACCTTTTGTCTTTTTCAGACCTTGTCTAGATGTGATCTCGCCTGAACCCACCAGATCCCATAATCCTGGGCTGGATGACCCCCCCCCCCCCCCACACAAACACATTCCTTCTCCCCATCTCACACATGCACACCAGAACGGGGCTTTGGGTTGCTGTTTCTTTAATTCACTCCCAGGATGACAGTTTTGTATGAATATCCTTAATGGGAACAGCCTGAATAAGTACACACAGTGCATTTTATTTGCATGGCCCAGTATGCTTTTCAGAAGCTTTTAGGAACATTTATTTACCAAATAGGACAGATTAGGTAGAGAGATATCTTCTAGACCAAGAAATGAAAATGACGGCCTGAAGCTGTATCTGATGCACAGACATTTTTTGCTTGGCTGATGTGTTCAAATTTTTTTGAGCCAACATTTAAAAGTTGAAAGCATTTGTATAAAACTCCTTCTCTTGGAAAATTGGAGTTGCTTACCACACTGAAATAAATTTCTGTTGGTGACAATGAACTGAATTCTGCTGCCCATTTGGGTCCTGCAGGCTTCCAACTTTCACAGCATTGCTTATTTTGATTCCCCCGGCCTGCAGGTACCCAAGCTCTGGTTCTTAGCTTAATCAGTGAGAATCATGAGCCCAAGGCCACCAGCCAGGGGCTGAGGATGGTGGGGTCCCAGCTCTCTGTAGCTCACAAGTGTGCACACCAAAGGGCCCCTTTCTCTGGAGGAACTAGAAGTACAGAGAGAGCTCCTAGGGCAGACTGTCTGGGTTCAAACTTACTTACTGTGTGACTTTGGGCCAGTGTTCTAACCTCTCTGAGTTTCAGTGTTCTAGTTACAGACTGATGATGATAATGAAAGTACCTACTTTAAGTGGTCTGCCTTCTTAAAAGAAAATCCATGAAAAGCACTTAAAATAGTGCTACGCCCATTTCTATTATTACTATTACTAGGATTAATTATTTTATCCAACAGAAGACCAACTGCTCTTTTGGCCCAGGTTTGTCAAGGCTTTCTCCATTTTTAGTTCCTTTATGTCTCTGATGTGCGTGTGTGTGACCTTAAACTTCAGTGTAAATTGGATATTTTGGGAGGTAAATTATAAGATTAAAATGCAGAAGTGTATCCTGCAGCAAAAAGGATAATTCTTTTATGTTGGGAAATATCCCTTCTAAATATGAGTCATTTTGTACTTTCAGATTCTGGTCATCACTTTTCTTAAAGTGAGGCTTACCTGCAAGATGTTCCTGTTTGAGAAAGCCCCTAAGCCACTCAGTTATTGCTCTCTCTCTGTCCCCTGCCCTGGCGAGTGTGAAAGGCACCAGTTGGCTTTTGCATGCATTTTTTTTTCTTTTTTGGATAAAATTTTAGTGCTTTATACTTTTCCTATTCTTGGTTGCTAGTTTAGTGTGTGTGTATGTGTGTGTGTGTGTGTGTGTGTGTGTGTGTGTGTGTAGAGGGAAAATGTCTGATTTTGTTGTAACACACATATCTGGCCACAAGAGGGCACAGTATGCCATATATTGCCCTAGAATCTCCATCCTCAATTATCTGAAACTCTTATTTAAATAACAACAATAGCCAAAACCGGTTTGGCTCAGCAGTAGAGTGTAAGTTGCAGACTGAAAGGTCCCGGGTTCGGGACCTTTCTGAAAGGGCATGTCCATTGGTTGCGGGCACATCCCCGGTCAGGGGGTGTGCAAGAGGCAGCTGGTCGAAGTTTCTCTCTCATCGATGTTTCTAGCTCTCTATCTCTCTCCCTTTTTCTCTGTAAAAAATCAATAAAATATATTAAAAAAAGAAGAAAAAAATTTTTAAAAAAGAATAACAACAATAAATAACCAATGGACAGAGACACCAGGGGGGTGAGGGCATGAACAGAGGAAGGGGGGAAAAGACACATATGTAATACCTTAATCAATAAAAAAATAACAAAAACAATAATAAGTGTAAAAATATTGGATACCATTAAGTCCTATAAAATGAAGGCTCTTTTTTATATATGCGTAAATATGGAAGTTTGACAAATTTCAATATGTATTGTATATATATCATAGTGTCTAGAGACACAGCCTTTCTGGAAAGAGGGATGGTTACTGGTGGGGTCAAGGGATATCTGCCTAAGACTATCAGAGAGTGGAGGACAGCCATCAGGGGACTTGGGCTGTCTGCTCTGAGTTCACCCTGAATTTGGGACAAGATACTATTGTAGGAGCTGAGCAGGAGGCATGGCAGGCCTCCAAAGATAAATTAATTAGAGTCTTGATCATAAGGAATTACTATAAGCTGCATGGGGACACAGACAAGTAGTAAACTATGCTGTTTATGGAGCGCCATGTGCTAAGCACACGCACACGTGCTCCCCTACACAGTACGTGCACTACGATTCCCATTTTTGGGTGAGTAAAGTGAGGCTTACACGGGTTAAAAGATTTGCTCTAGGTCATCTAGTTAGTGAGTGGCACAGCTGAGAGAAAACCCAAGCCTGGCTGACTTTCAAATCAGAGACCCAACTAGAATATTACACCAAGTAGCCATTCACACAGTGCAGGGTGTTCAGCTGGGTACCACTAGAGGGCAGTGTGGAGGCTCAGATGTCATTCCTTCCACTCTAGGCACTTGACATCTGCTTACTCTTCCCTCCCTAGGAAATCACCCCGGGCCAGCTGAGCCTGGAGGACCTCTTGGAGATGACGGATGAGCAGGTGTGTGAAACCGTGGAGAAATATGGAGCCAACCAGGAGGAATGTGCCCGCCTCAATGCCTCCCTCTCCTGCCTCCGGAATGTGCACATGTCAGGTGAGCAGGCTGGACGTCTGCCACAGGCCTCCAGGTTCCTGTGTAGGCCTGGACGAGACAGAACCAACTCTGGGTTTTCCGATGGTCTTAGGTGACCCTTTTAGCGGCTCTCAAACTGTGGTTGCGAGAGCCGCTGCTGTAGAGCCTAAGACCATCGGAAAACACAGATATTTTCATTACAATTCATAACAGTAGCAAAATTAAAATCATGAAGTAACAACGAAAATAATTTTATGGCTGGGGGTCACCACAACATGAGGAACTGTATTAAAGGGTCGCGGCATTGGGAAGGTTGAGAACTACTGCTCTAGGGACCGACTATTATCATTTTGGTATAATATTTTTGGTTTACTTTCTCCAGATCAATGGGTATGTGTATACTATCTTTAAGCAATAGAATTAGGATTATTTATCCATATTATTTCAAAACCTGTTGTGTTTTCTTTTAAACCTAACAAAATAACCTCTGTGACTAATCAGTTTGGAATCCAAATATGTCGTCATATTTCTTTGATTTTTCCTATAAATTATTCAAACTCGCATCTGTCTCTTTTTTTTTAGCATCCTCTTAGGGCCTCCTGCTTCTCTCTAGCTTTATGATTTCCCCACAAATTCTGTGGTCTTTTCCGTGTTATGGGATTAGCTCTGCAAACACCCGCCAAAAAGTGTTATGGGTCCATCTGTGTGGTGGTTTCAGTTCCTACCACAAGGTGTCACTGTGGTACATGAATCGGGCACAGGCAGAAATTTATAACCACAGATGCCCTTGCTGGATTGATTCAACAGGCAGTCTTCGACAAGTATGTATTGACTGACCACTTTGTGCCATTTGGGCTGAAGATAGATCAGTGAACAAAATAGAGCCTGTCTGAAACAGGTCATTGGCCCAGATTCTCTCCTCTCCAACCCTGCATGCTCTTTTATATACTTTTTTGATAGCAGATCCTAATCAGGGCTGTGTTCAGCATCAAAAGAGACCATGAACTGGAGGCTGACCTGTCCTTGAAGGATGCTTGTTAGTACCCCTTGTCTCTACCCATTAGATACCAGTAACATCCCTCTCCCATTCATGACAGACAGAAATGTCTTTGGATATTTTCAGATGTTCTCAGGGGAAGAAGGTGTTGCAGTAGACTCACCCCTGGTTAAACAGCGGAAAAGGTCATGTTATTCCTTACTCTAGTGCAATACTGTTGACTCACCAAACATTTGCATGGCTAAGCGTGGCCTATCAATCATGCAATGCAGACAAAACCTGATTCAAGGTGACTTCTCTCTACTTACATGAGAAGCATCTAGTAGTTAGTGCACCATCTAGTAGTTAGTGAGCCTAAGTACAATGCTGTACCATACACATTTTTTTCAATACATTTTAAGGCTTTTGTCTATATATTTATTCAACCACTGCTGTTTTTAGACACTTGGCTCTGAGTGTTACCTTTGGGCACATGCATGGCTACTCCTTTAGTGAGAATGCATAGGAGAGTGGTTCCTGCAGCAAAAAGTTTACATATTTTAAGACTTCTGGTGGACATTGCCATGTTTGCCTTCCAAAAAGTTTGTACCAATTTATGTCTCTCCCCCTTCTCCCCCATAGTGCATGAGAGTGAGCATGTGAGGTTAGGTTCATCATTGCTTTTCAGTTCATAGCTCCTCATCAGAATTGGGCTACTGAATGTGGCAGAGTCCTCATAAATGGAGCTGGACTCTAGTTCTGCCTGAGACAGGCCTTTATGTCAGCCCTCTGTGGGCTGAGCATCCATCTCTGTGACATCCTGGGGTGGGCCAGACCGTGAGAGAGCATCTGATCTGGTGTTTTTCAAACTTTTTTGATCGAGACACACAGTAATCAAAACATTGCCTGGCTGATGTGACTCAATGGTTGAGTGTTGACCTATGAACCAGGAGGTGATGTTTTGATCCCTGGTCAGGGCACAGGCCTGGGTTGTGGGCTCGATCCCCAGTAGCGGGTGGCAGGAGGCAGCCAGTCAATGATTCTCTGTCATCACTGATGTTTCTCTCTCTCTCTCCCTCCCTCCATTCCTCTCTCTCTGAAATCAATAAAAATATAAAAAAAAGACACACAGTAACAAATGACTTATACTCCAACCTTATACACACACATTATACAGAAATACATGAATATACACATACACAGCTGAAATTAGTTTCATGAAACAGTACCAATTCTTACTACGCAGAGTATTTTACATTCTTTTCTATTTTATTTTATATCACTTACCAAATGCTGGAGAGGACCTGCCACTTTCATTTCACACCCCACGATGGGTTGAAAAATGCCAATCTCCTTGATCCTCCTGCCTCTATCAGCTCTTTCCAAGCAGCTGAGCGCGTCCTGTCTCTGATGCCAGCCTTCCACCACAGGGTCCTTGAGAGCAGGGCCAGGTGTTGCACTGGGCAACAAGGGAAGCTCAGCTCAGCACACGGCTCTCAGTGTCCTAACATCATGCTCTACCTCTGCATGTGTCCGTACCACTTCCCACATGTTAATTTTAACCTTTTGTGGGGAGTTATTTCTTTTAACAGATGTCTCCCCCCCCCCCCCCAGTAGAGTGTAAGCTGCAGGAGGGCAGGGATCTACCTGTTTCTGCTCACTATTTTATTTGCAGTCAGATACCCCCAGCTCAATATCTGGCACATCTTAAAATTTTTTAAAATTGATTTTAGAGAGAGAAAGGGAGAGAAATAGAGAGATATAGAAACATCAATGAGAGAGAAACATCCATTGACTGCCTCCTGCACACTCGCTATGTATGTGAAACTCACCAATGGCTTCACATACATAGTCTTTCCCACAGATTGCAAAGCACCTTGGGATTTGGCTTCTAGTTGGAACCGTGCTGTTTACATTCCCACCCCCAACCTTCAGTGTCGTACAGATCTACTAATTACTTGGAATTTCCTAGATCACGCATGGATTTCACTTCTTGGTATTCAACTCACTGCTTAGGATTCTCTCCCACTTGTGTCCTCCCCATGAATCCCTGCTTATTCTCAAGCCCTGACTCAAGGCCTCTGCAGTTCGTTGGATGAATGAATGAATGCTTCTGTTACCAATTGGTCCTGCCTTAGACGGATTGTCACTTCTTTGTCACTCCTTCATCTGCTTGTGACCTCCCTAAGGACAGGTGCAGTATGCTACTATTCATCCCCCTCTTCCTAGCATCTTGTCCAAGTTATATTTGTTGAAGTAAGTGCAGGAAAGCTGTGTGATGTGTTTGCTACTCTTCTCCACCAGGGGGAAGCAACGATCCATTCTCTACCAATCCTTCTTGTCTTAAATTCTCTTCTTCCCTCAAAAATTACGTTGGTTCCTTGAAGCTTCTAAATTAGGGGTGTCGAACTCAATCAGAGAAGGGGCTAAAATCTAAAATCCAGCCTAAATCGCGGGCCGAATGGTTTACTGAACAGTCATAAACTGTCATTGTGATGGAAACGCAGCAGAGTGCAGTGATGACAGCACGGTGCGGGCCACATTGCAAGGCCTGGCGGGACGGATTTGGTCCGTGGGCCTTGTGTTTGACACATGTGTTCTAAATGGTTCCATTATCTCCTGCCTTTCACTTTAATCCAAAATTTTATCCCAAACTAAGGAACAAACTAGTTCTTGATTCTTGCTTCTTACTATATTTATTTCATCCCGGTCTTCCCAGCTCTCAGCTGGAGCCTCCTACAGTGATGAAATTAAATACTTTAAATTTTAGTGTGTAGTGGGGGCTCAATGCATGTTTGTTAAATGACTGAAGGGATACAGGTTTTATTGAGAAACTCATGGAGACAAAAAAGCTTAGTACTTGACCAAGAATATGTGTAATTTCTCTCGCCCTCTCCCCACCTTCCAGTTCCTGGCCCTGGCCCTGTCCCTCTCTCCCTTTTCTCTCTCTTTGTCTCTTTCCCTCTCCTCTCCTCTCCTCTCCTCTCCTCTTCAGGGATAGGGGAGACTTTATTTTATAGTTGTGATTCTACCAGTAATTTAGTTTTCTCTTTGGATTTTGGGGTTATCTTTATTTCCCAGTGCCCAAGATGCCCCAAAGGTAGGAAAGTTTAACCTTTTGTATCTTAGATTTTTAGATCAGCCTTAGCCTGACACCAAAGAATACTTAATTATTCCATCAACAAGCTCAAGGGATTCCAAAGCCAGGGTCTCCTCACCTTATCATATCAACAGTGGCCTGAAATTAAAAACAAACAAACATGACATTCCCTCATACATCAATGTTTATTGAATCACTATCACCTTCATCACCATCACCTTCGTCACCATCACCATCACCACCTTCATCACTATCACCATCACCATCACCGACATCACCATCAATATCATCACCATCACCATTACCACCATCATCACCAACACCTTTGTCACCATCACCATCATCACATCACCATCATCATCACCATCACCATCACCAACACCAACATCACCAACACCAACATCACCATCAACATCACCACCAGGGTCCTCTAGCCGTTCTCTGCCCCATCTCGCTTTCCTCCATCTCCTTCCTATCCCTCTCATTTTCTTTTGTCTCCAAGGACCCCTAGCCTTCAGCTTTTCTAATTCTGCTCCCTGTTTGTCTTTGGCTTCTCTTCCCTCTTAGCCACTGTCTCTCTCCACATTGGCACTTCTTTAGAGCCCATCTCCCTGTGCTTGGCTTGATTGTTCTCTAGGGTAGCCTGCCTTTCCCTGACCAGAAATAAAAGCAGAACCCCAAGCAGTTTCTCAGGGCACACAGCCCCATTTCTGTCCCCTCCCCCCAAGGTCACTGCAGAGCTGAGGTCCCAGGGTGACACTGACTTGGCTGCCGAAGAGCATGCTTCTGTGATTGCTTTAGTCATGTGTGCTCATTTGCATCTTTACTTTCCAGGAAGGAAAAACCCAGGCTCCAGATAATGGGAGACTGCTTCCCCCCTTCTTTCCCTAACTCTCCCTCCCCTATATATTTTTCAAGCACCCACTTTGCATCTGGCACTGTGCT